TTTTCTCCATTTGTTTGTATCTTTTAATAGAAAAAATAAACTTTTCCCGTTGTTGAAATCTCTTGACAGTGAACATAAAATTTAGATTTTAGCTTGTTCATCTTCTGAAGAACAAAATAGGCAAAGAGACCAAAGACAGCGATTAATATAAGCAAGATATGAAACCAGAGCAAAGACTTCGGGGAGTCTCCAAACGAATATAAATTTTGAAAGAAAACCAAGGATCGATTCTCAAGTCTCCTTTTTAATTTAGCGTTTTGACATTTCTGCCGCCATTTTTTTTTCACTCGAAAGTTAAGTCAGTCAGCATCCATCGTATATGTTCGTGTATAAGTCGATCTTACGCTGTTGTCAGTTTGGTGTTTCCGTGATAGGTTATCATAAAGTTTCTACAGTAGCATGCGATCTAATATGCAGACTTACGGCCACATCACGTTGAGACACCGGTTCCCGTACGATCACCATAGTTAAGCAATGTCGAGTCTGGTCATTAAGCAACGTCGAGTCTGGTCTTGATGGGTGACGGCTTGGGAATATCACGTGCTGCAAATTTGGATGTGCGTCTCGTGTAATGGATAATGGCTCGGAATTCATAATCGGAGAGCCGAGTTCCAATTCCAGCAGGGTTCGTTATATTCACTTACGGGCAAATACCCTGGGGAATGTATGAATCCACCTCTTCTCCACCCATTAGTAAAACATGTCTAAAACCATTAAAACCATTATTACCATTAAATAACCCAAAAAATCAACCAAACCAATCCAAAAAAATATTTAGCATTAAAATAATTTCAGCAACAAAAATAACCCAATAGAGGTTGATTATGACCTGAGGTTGATATGCCGCTAAACAAAATCAACCAACCAACAATACATATTTATAGTAAAACTATCAACATTACATATTTAAAGCAAAATGAACCACAATATATTTCATCTTTAGTTGAAGCCATAAAATTACATTCAAAATATTTAGATTTTGGTATTAAATAACCCATAGAGCTTGATATGTCGTTAAACAAAAATCAACCTCATCGAAAATGGAGTCTGTTGGTTTTGTATAGTAAAGTGTTTTTCGTGGCCTGATTATCCTTTCTTCACATATGATCGTCGCTTTTATATGATGGTGGAGGTCTGCTTATCACTGTGATCCGAATATCTATATAGGCAAATGTATTACCTCCGGGCTGGTAGCATGGTAGGGAACAAATTAAATGATGGAGATACGACATCGTTTTAGTGCTGATTCAACGAAGGCTGCCTCGTTCTCAACGGCCAACGGCGAATCACACCAGATGAGGGACATGCTTACTTCCTAAAGCGAATCACTGCTACGTCCATTGTATGGCCAAACATACTCAGATTTGCCACTGGATGATTTGATTCGGAACAAGGTGAAGACAATGATCATATGTGTATCGGAAGGATGGAGCTGGCCTAACTGCTGACAGAATCAAAAACTTAATTCTACTGTATTCAGGTCTGACTTGGTCAGGAAGTGATTGATAAAAAAAATCACGTATCGGACATCTATACGTGTGACATGTAAGTGGAATTTAATAAAACTTATTTCAAGAACTTTTTTCTTGTTTCTTTTTCATCATTTGACCCCATGCAAGGTAATAAAGTCACTAAGACACAAGGTATTAATAAGTGCGGAGGATAAGAAAACGGAACACATTAAGGAGAGAGAACTATAAAAGAACACGAATTAAGAAGACTGAAGATTACGATTGACTTTGCATTTAAATTCTTGATCAACTTAGAAAGCATGGTGTGAGAAAAGACTTCCACATGCGAGAAGTGTGAGAAAAGAAACTGTTACCATAAAACTTACAGTTACACCTAACAAATTCATTTTATAAAGCAATGAGACCTTTTGCCAATATGGTACTGCGCTTAAATTCATAAAGTCTAGGTTCCATAGAGGAATTTATATATATAAATATATATATATATATATATATATATATATATATATATATAATCTTTTATTTGTATACCTATACTATAACAGTGATGGTGTAAAAAAAACAGATGATTCAAATAAATAAAAGAAATATTATACAAACTGATATCTGGGAAAAAATCACTAAAAAAAGAAAAGACGAAAAACATCCGTCCTGCTTGAAAATAACCAAGCAGCACCGCAATAAAAAAAAACAAAAAAACAGAGTTACCTACGTTGATACATAAAAGTGCTCAATACACTAAACAGACCAAAATTAGAATACCTAAGGAGCCAGAACCTATGTAACTAGGTTTTACCTAATGGATTATCAGAATAATTCTGACGAAAAAGTGTTGTCCCAAATGACTTTTTATTGATAAAGCGGCCAACAGAAAGAATAAAAAATGGCATAATGGTCCAATAGATCAGGTCGAATTGAAGTTTATAAGCAGTAAATTCGACCTGGCCTACCGAACGCTTCTTTGTGGCCGAGTCGGTTAAGGCACGTCAGCGTATGGGACGGTTCCGTATAGGATGCAGGTTCGAATCCTGTCAAAGGACGAATATTTTCTATGAAAATTTCTCGGACATTCAGGCCGGTAAATGTTATTTAATACTGTTTATTATAAACAGAGCGTTTACTTAAATAATTGTATCTTTAAAAAAGAACGTTAAACATAAAAAAATTGTCTTTAATAAATATATATATATATATATATAAAGGACAAATTCAGAGAAAAAAAAAAGTGGCAAAGTGAAAAAAAGTAATAGGGTGACGTTTTTCGTGTGGTAGGTCATCATCAGACTATAGAGGTCTTTATTTTGATGCGTCAACCCATGTGCCCGAAGATGAGGCGAGTGAAAATTTTACTGTTTTAAACATTCTGAAAACGTCTTTGAAAAGCTACAGTGAATAATTATTACCTGGAAAATCATGGCTAGTTTACATGGTAAATTCGTTTATACCAACGTGCTTTCAACATAAACATCACGTTTACCATATTTGACCTTTCGTTGCATAAATTTATTATCACAAAGGTGATAGAAACCTGAACAAAAAGGAAAATGAACTAAATGAAATCGGCTAGACTATATACCCAAAACATACATATATATATATATATATATATATATATATTTACAGAAGGCTTACCGATCTTCATTATACTATTAATCTCTTCTCGTTAAGGGTCAATCGCTATCTATCCTCCCTATCCTCAGAAAAACTTAATTTCTTCTCGTCAAGAGTCAATCGCTATATATCATCCCTATCCTCACAAAATCTTAATCTCTTCTCGTCAAGGGTTATCTATCCTCCCTATCCTCATAAAATCTTAATCTCTTCTTGTCAAGTGTCAATCATTATCTATCCCCCCCTATCCTCATGAAATCTTAATCTTTTCTCAATTAGCGTTATCTATCCTCCCTATCTTCATAAAATCTTAATCTCTTCTTGTCAAGAGTCAGTCGTTATCCATCCTCCCTATCCTCATAATCTTCACTTTTTTCCGTCTCCTCTCTCATTCATATCACACGCCTCATCATTTTAACGGTGACCTTCTACCTTGGGTATTGATGTATTTTATGAATTTTTTGTGTGAAAACGTAATATGAAAGATTGTCACAGACTTACCTTTTCAGGGACGTTCTTTGTTTAATTTAAATTATTAAGTAAGCCTGCAAGTAGTCAAGTGAGCCTATGTTATTCTGTTTTCTGTGTCATGTTCAATGCGACATGAGATTCACTGGGGATGAAAAAGGTCCCCAGAGAGAAAAAGACACCTATCTTTAAGGTATCTTATGGCTAAAGGAGAAAAAGAAAGAAAGGTACATCGCGTTATTTTCTTTTCGCATCACCCCATCGAGCCTGTGAGCAGACGTTCTTTAACAGACAAGTGGGGTAATCCCCCAAAATTGAAGGAACTCATGAACAACAGGAAACGGGACGAAATATCAAGAAGTAGCGTTTACATCTACTGAATATATATGAATTGGAAGGGGCTTAAAAAAGCTATAAATAGAAAAATGAATAAGCAACAGAAACTTGCAGGAAAAAATATAAGTATCAAAATTTCAATGGGCTCAAATACGACCCATTCGTGTCTGTGTCGACACGAACAGTTACAGAGTTTAAATCTTTGCTAGTTGAGTCACGATTGAAGGCACATGTCATTATACGACATCGTCTTATGATATGAAAAGTGATTTAGTATACCTATATATGTAAAAAGGGTAAGAAAGAAAGAGAGAGTGAAAAAAATTGTCATTTAATAACGACCCGACAGCAAAATATCGATGAGGAAACATGTTATGTCGGCGGCGGACGAGGTGTGGAGGAACGGGTTGGTACATTTAGAAGACATGGTTAACAGATAGTATTCGATAAAAGCATCGTGGTCAGCTCCGGGGGAATTTATGTTACAAATGGATTAAGAAAGCGACATGATGGCGACGAGAATATTTGAGTACGTTTGGAAAATAAAGAGATTATTTCTATTTTGCTCTTAGTATTTTCACGGATTCGGTTACAATTCAGTTATTTTATATTTTTTTTCCTTCCTCGTTTTGTTTTTATTTCCTTCTTTTCTTTTCTTCTTTCTTTCTTTCTTACTAGTTTCTCTTTTTCGTTTCTTTTTCCCTTTTGTTTTCTTTCTATTTTCTTTATCCCTTTTTTTCTATATTCAGTTTTTCGTGATTTTTTTTTATTTTAAATCATTTTTTTCTATTTTCTTGTACATTTTTGTTTTCTTTCTATTTTCTTCTTTTTTCTTTCTATTTTCTTCAGATTTTTTTTTCTTATACATTTTCATTCTGGCACTTTTTCTTTTTTCTTTTTCTTCTTTGTTTTCATTCTATTTTCTATTTTCTTCTTACTATTTTCATTATATTTTCTTCTTCATTTTTTCTTCCTATATTCTTCAATGTTTTCTTGTTCAATTCATTCTATTTTTTCTTCTTTCTTTCTCTTTTCTCTTTCCTTTTTGCTTTCTTCCTATTTTCTTCTTAATATTTTCATTCTAATTTCTTTCTTCTGTTTTTCTTTCTATCTATGTCTCTTCATATATGCCTCTCTATATCTCTTCAAAATATTCACATCTATCTATCTATCTGTCTGTCTCTTCACATCTATTTATCTCCATTCTATCTATCTATCTATCTATCTGAGTCCACTTCACTATCTATCTATCTATCATTGTTTCTTCCCATCTATGTATCTATCTATGTTTTTGCAGCTATCTACTTATCTGTCTCTTCATATCTAGCTATTTACCTATCTGTCGGTCTATCTATGTCTCTTCACATCTATCTATCTACCTATCTATCTCACTCTGTTCCTATCTATCTATCTATCTATCTATCTATCTATCTATACCTGTCTTTCTGTATATCTATTTATCTATATCTCTTCACATCTATCTATCTGTATCTGTCTCTTCACATCTATCTATCTATCTATCTATCTATCTATCTATCTATCTATCTATCTTTCTTCACATCTATCTATCTATCTATCTATTTTTGTCTCTTTTCATATCTATCTATCTATCTATCTATATATTTCTTTATATCTATCTATTTATTTCTGTTTCTTCACATCTATCTATGTATCTATCTGTTTTTTTGCATTTATCTACTTATCTGTCTCTTCATATCTATCTATTTACCTATCTGTCGGTCTATCTATGACTCTTCACATCTATCTATCTATCTATCTATCTATATCTATCTATCTGTCTCATACACTCTTCACATGTATCTATCATGTATTTAAAAAATTTATTATCATATATCCAACAGCATTTAAAATGCAGATGATGCTGTAGTTATACCAGACACAGAATAGTTGTAGGAATCCGCAGATGATATTGAAAGAAAGTTGGAAGAACGGACTAAGCATCAAACATAAGAAAGCAGAATGTATGGTTGTCAGCAAAAATGAACAATTCAAGATACGACAAAATCAAGCAAGTTCAAAACATTAACAGTCTCGGCAGTGTTTTAACATGTACAGAAAATGCAACATTGAAATCCGACTGTGCAGTGCAATAAGAAACTGAAGTGTCTTCCGAAAGCTAAGCAAAGTATTAAGAAAAAGAAAATGTGATGAAATGTTATGTAATATTGATCTTCCTGTATATTAGGGAATCTTGAAAATCTCCTCAACAATGAAGAAGAGACGTGAGTCAACTCAAATATTGTTCAACACAATGACTGATCGATTGACATTTGTTTTTTTATGATTTATCAACCTTTTATATGTTATTTTAATCCAGAAAATGTTTCTAGATTTTAAGATTCTTTTAACCTTAATAATGGTTTTCTGATACAAGTCCAATTGATTAATTAACCGATGACTTGGGGTAAAAGAGTTGGCTTCATACCTGTCCCAAGTGAATATAATGAATGACACTGGATTTACAATTTGGCTCCTTTCCAATTTCGAGCCGTTATCCATTACACCAGCTGCGGGTTGGTGACCGCTTGTGAATTCCAAATTCCCATGAAACTCCAATATTGGAGCCGGCTCAATCCACCCCGAATGTCGTTACAGATACAGGTTAGTACACCAGCTGCATATCCCGGTATACAGGACCTTTTATTACCAAGCGGTAACCGACCTATATACCATTGTGCAAATTAATTGAAACAAACGAATGATTCTGTTATTATTTACTTTTTTTTCGTATTTTTCCAATGAGACATAACCCAATGCATATGTTAGTATATCGTATAACCATTCCACGAAGCCGTTCTTTGCAGATTGACCACAAATTCTAAATAGGATTTAAATCAGGAGACTTTCCTGGCCAGTCTGTATTGATTTTCTCACTTGTAAGGCTTGCCAGCGTGTTCGTGGAGCGTTAGAATTTTCGTACGCTTCCTTGGAGTAACGTCCATCGCAGACAATGGCCTTACGACAACTAATCGATAGTCGAAACAATAGTGTCTGGATGTGATAAAAATCTGATGCAATCACGGATGACGCAATATTTTTCAAAGCCAAACAAATTTCATTATACACCTCGAAAATAGATTCATATTACTGCACACCACTGCAAATGACCTAATCTGAGGAAAAATAGAAATCGATTACACCTTGTCATTCCAATCTGACCGTATGATGAAAGAAATGAAACTAAAGCGCTTGTTTCAATTAATTTGCACAAGGGTGTCATTTTTTTTTATATTCCTTAATATTTGTGTCTGAGTGGCTTTATTGCCTTACTTGGGGTGAAATGGGTGAGTATACGATGAAATGAATATGTGCGCAAGAAGGAAGATTTAAGTAAAATGGGAATGAAAAGGAGGTTTGTGGTTAGGATCAAAAGGAGACAGTTGTAAATTTCTGGGACATAATGAGGAGAGACGGTTTGGAGAATTCGGCATTCATAGGACATGTTGAGGGGAGGAAGTGGAGAAGAAAACAATGAGTAAGTTAATCAACGTTCTAGGTTAAAAATGATGAAAGAACAAGGATTGAGAGGAATTGTAATGGAACAAAAAATACTTAGTTATAAGTAACAGGAAGTTGTGGAGAGCCAAGATCTCACATATCGTGAACGGACACGGCACATATAAGGAGGAGAATTAGTTTTTATATTATTTTTTTCTTCCTGGCTTTTGTTCGTTCATCATTCTTTATTTCCTATGATCCCTATCTTCATTTTTACTATCCTTTTCACCTTCCTTTTCTTTACATTTCTTTTTCTTTCGTTTTCTTTTGTTGCCTTTCTTTTTTCTTTTTATCATTTCTTTTACTTTTCCTTCTATCTTCTTTTCTTTTCTTTCTTTATTCTTGAATCATTTCTTTCTTTTCTTTTTCCTTCTATTTTTCTTTCCTTTTTCCTTCCATGTTCTTTTCTTCCCTTTCTTTTTCTTTCTATCTTCTTTTCTCCCCCTTTTTCTTCTATCTTTTCTTCACATTCTTTTCCTTTTATCTTCATTTCTTCTCTTTCTTTTTTCTTCAGTCTTTTATTCCCTTTCCTTTTCTTTCTATTTTTCTTTTCTTTTTCTTTCTATCATTTCTTCAGATTCTTTTTCCTTCTTTCATTCCCTTTCTTTCTTGTTCTATATTTTCTTCTCATTCTTTTATCTTTTTTCTTCCCTTTTTCCATCTCCTTTTCTAGTCTTTCTTTTTCCTTCTATCTTCTTTTCGTCCCTTTCTTTATCCTTTTCTCTTCTTTATTTTTCTTTCAGTCTTCTTTTCTCCCCTTTCTTTTTCTTTTTCTCTCATTCACTTCTTTTTTTTCCTCTTGTCTTTCCAGCCATTTTCCATTAGAATTAGCTTTTACTCACTAACTGTCTCTGAAATTCTTTCGCAAGACTTTTTTCACTAAAGTTTTAACGAATCCTTTCCCACCCACGAAACGCATTTACCAAACAGTTTTCCCTTTACTTAACGAAGTTGTTCATAGCTCCATAGAAAACCTTGTTTATAACATTATGAGGCAAAGTCAGGCCATGTTACTATATCCTTTAATGTACTCACGAAGAGAACACATTTAACAGTTTCGTTTGAGCAATACCTCTCTGAGTGTTGTGTGATTGTATGGTTAGCGATTAGGATCTCGAACGCGGCGAATCAAGTTCGAATTCTAATCGAGTTTTTCGTATTCAGTTGTAATCTCCCCTATAATGGGTTAAATAAGATAGTGGTCTCTTCAGCTTTGCTCTGCAACCAGCCTAGAAGAAAGAAATCTCCGTGTTCCCAAAATCGAGTAGATAGGAGTCGCTAGCTTGGGAAAACGAGATCTTCTAAAGCAGAGGTTCCAAAATTTTTTCCCCCTGGGCCGCATTTTCGGAATTAAAAGTTGCTCACACTTCACAAAAAGGCTAAAAAAAGAGTACATTTAAATATAAAAAAAAATGTGTTAAAGGGAGATAAATGCGTATTCGAAGTCAGATCATTATCATTGATAACTCTCTCCTCCAATTTGCAGACTCTAGTTACTATATTCTTAATACTTGATATAATGTAAACATATCACAACGATAAAATCGGTCAATAATTATTTATAACTATTTATACTGGCTTCATGCATGCAATTACAAGTAATGTATTATAATATATTTTGACATATGATTTTTTAAAAAAACTGTTTCTAAATCTTTGGTTGTCTTTCAATCATTCCGCTACACTATGAGGTGCGTCACACCGTTTTGGGAACTAATGTTCTAAAGAAAGGTAAATTCGGTTTTTCCAGTTATGAGTCCTTTTTTTAAAGCTGATCGTTTTGTGTTCATTTTGTTTAGTTCTTTTTTCGTAACAGATTTAATGTTTAGTATAGAGCTTAGAAAAAAATTCGCTTGTCTGAGATAGACAAGATGTAAGGCATGTAGCAACATCAGCACGGCAAAGGGCACTCCTTTAAAGGCAAGGGCAAAATTATTTAAGTCAAGTGATAATGATTTTGTATGAGTCGAACGATTTTTGAATCAAGCACGGGCAACATATGGCCCATATCTCCATATATATATATATATATATATAGATGAATAGATATATCTGAACAGACGTGAATAGATTTCTATCTACCTCTGTTCATCTCTCTCTCTCATTCTATATATATATATATATATATATATATATATATATATATATATATATATATATATCAGTTTGCATTTCTTTATCTATCTCAGTCTGTTTATATCTATCTGTCTTGGTCTGTCTATATACACACACACACACATATATATATATATATATATATATATATATATATATATATATATATATATATATATATGTATGTATCAATCTGTTCATATCTCTTTCTATATCTCTCTAGGTCTTTTTCTTTTTATCTACCTCTGTCCATATCTATCTATCTCACTCAGTCTGTTCATATCTATCTATCTATCTATCTATCTATCTGTTCATATCTATCTATATCTCAGTCTGTTCATATCTATCTATCTATCTATCTATCTATCTATCTATCTATGTCCTTTCATTATCTATCTATCTATCTATCTATCTATCTATCTATCTATCTATCTATCTATGTAATTCAGTTTGTTCTATCTATCTATCTATCTATCTATCTAAGGCAGTTACATGTCTATTTATTTATCTTAGGTAACTTCTATCTCTCCGAATGCTGACATGAGTTTAATTATACCTACCTACATCTATCTATCTATCTATCTATCTATCTATCTATCTATCTTAGTCTGACAGTAAGTTATTCTAGTTACCCTGACTCTTACTATATGTGATGACCTCCATCCACATCACTTATTTATACTAGATTACGATATAGTTAATTTTATGTAGGTACATTTAATAAAAGGATCCCTCTCTCATACTATCTTATGCCAGTATGTTCGCCTCTCCCCCACTCACCTGTCCCCCTCTCTATGTCTGTCTTTCTCTCTCTATTGTCTCGACTGTCGATTAGTTGTCCTACAGCAGTTGTCTACGATAGACCGCTTCTTCAGGGTAGCGTACAAAAATTTTAACGCTGCACAAACACACAAGCAAGCCTTACCAGTGAGCAAATCAAATTACTGTAGAAGGCCCGGAAACTCTCCTGATTTACATCCAATCGAGAATCTGTGGTCAATCTGCAAAGAACGAATTCGAGGAATGGACATACGAAGTACTAACATGTGCTCTGGCTCATGTTTCATTGAAAATAATAATGGAATTATTCGTTTTCGTTCAACTAATTTGAAGAAGGGTGTATGCAAAATATTGCACACTGAGTGTTGGTGCCAATAAAACAGGTTTTTTTGTAAAATAACAGGGTTAAAATTTAGATTAATAATAAATGTACATTTATCTTTGTTTTTTTACAACTCTCTCTCTCTCTAAACTGTCTCTCTGTCTTCTCTCTCTCTCTCTCTCTATATACATATATATATATATATATATATATATATATATATATATATATATTGTTTACAATGTGATAAATATTTATAGGAGAAAAGTACTCAATAATAAAGGTTTGTGCTGTTGTATATATAAATAGAGGGAAAAGTAGTGATACATACTTCCTCTATATTTTCTGTATCTTTTTATGTACGTGCTTAAGCTTTTTTCTCTTTCTTTCCATTTGATCTCTCACATATTTAATTCCACTTTCATTTTACTCCTTATTTTTTTTTTCCATTTTCGCAAAATGTGATTTGCATGCCCTCCTTCCAAAATCGACTTCAGGACATGTCAAAATGAGTTCTAAAGATTTGATACATGGAAGCCATTAGATTTGCGAAAATCAAAATAAAAAAAAAAACTGTAAGGGGAGATAACCCCAAAACAAAAAAAAATTGGGGATTTTCATCTTTTTTTTTTTTTTTTTTTTTTTTTAATTTTCCTTTCTTTTTTTTTTTTTTTTTTCATGTCCTTTTTTACTTTTTTATTCTTTATCTTCTGTTCAGTCGGAGAAAAATGGTGGGGGTGCATTCATTTACGATATTTGCGTGCGTATATCCTGCTTGTTTAACGTGTAATCAGTAACATGTACGATCTTAAAGAGAAAAAAAACCCAAAACTTACCATTCTTCTTTCTTTCGATTCTACATCTTATTCCATATGAAAATGGCCACTCTAACTAAGCACACTTCTAGAGAAATATAGATTATATCTTTTTTTAAAAAAACGTATGATTAAATCACTTGATGGTGACATTTAGAAAGCAGGGTTAACAATTCCAAAATGGAAAAGTCGAAAAGAAGCAAATATGGCGGTTTCATGTAGATGGAAAAGTCCACACACCGTGTTAATTCTACAAGTGTTGGCACATTTTACTTTTCTTTCTGTACAATATAGTGATGAATTGTTCAGAGATGAAAAAAAGCAAGATATTTATAAAGAAAAGGATGATATCCGATATAATAATTTATCGAACGCGTTAGTTATATGTAGAAATGATTTTAACCAGAACTGCAATCACAAAATTGCCGTACTTATTGGAAGAGAAAATATATGTTTTAATGAAAGTTATTGAAAATTCAATTATTTTCTTGCCTAAATGTTAACTTCTGCCAGGAACTATTTCGAGTATCAATTTTCCTAAAATAAATGCCCCTTAATAATTCCATGTATTTATAGGGACTTCTGATCTAAATGGGACTTGTTCCACGAAACATCAAGCGACAAAACGAAAAATCAATAAACCTAAACGTCAACTACTTTGGCTTCTTCCGATTAGAATGAAAAAACACAAAACAGTATGTATAAAAAAAAATATATATATATATATATATATATATATATATATATAAGATATAAAGTCAACACTGCGACAGTCTGTTTTCATGCAAGCAGCATCGTCGATTGCGTCTAGCATGAAAAGACTATTTAAAGAGGTTAAATTTACATCTAATGTTCCACTTTATATTTACACACGCTCTATCTCTGATATTAAATTTTATCCCATATAAATATAGCACACATTAAGACTATATATTTATATATATATATATATATATATATATATATATATATCAGGTGCGATGGATAAATTGCCGTATAAATTACGTAAAACAAAAATGACACTGACATTTTATTTTAACAGATATATTTACAAAAAATTAC